CTTCATCTGTCATCATCAAGTAGTAATTTTAATCAACGTTATCAATTATTAACATCAATTGTTATTGATGATTCACCATCTTTATCATATACATATACAAGTGGAAAAGCATTACAAACATCATCATCATCATCATCTTTATATAATGAACGATTGAGAAGTGTTTGAAAAAATATATCGCTGTGTTTTCTTTTTTGTGGTTTTTTTCTATCTTATTCTTGTTAACCTTTCTTTTCTTATTTATTTGAAATAGGTAAAAAACTCATTTGTTTTGTTTTCTTTTTTATATACAAAAAATATTAAATATTTTTCTTTATTAACTAATTAAAAATGATTGAAAAGCAGAAGTATTTTGTATTTGTATAGAAACTTTTAATAATTTAATTAAGCGTTACTTTTTCCATATATTTTTTATCAACTTGATGACAATAAAGTATAACAAATGCATAGTTATTAATGCTTCTGTCGAGTAGTTCCAGTTCTAACATGTTCAATCTTACAACGATAATCTATTAGGCACAAGAAAATGTTGTACTATCCATATATAAAAACACAACAACAAAAAAAAATAGTACGATCCTTGTGGGATTAAAATGTGAAACACGATATAACTGCTGTTGCTAATTACAAAAAAATTGTTTTATGTTGTCTATCTTGGGACACATTTCTTCATCCTTCATTTACTTAATCCTTCAGAAGTACAATAAGAAAGTAATTAATATATAACAACGAATCGTTATTGATACATAGTCTGTAGAGGGAAAGCTGCAAGTTTCTACCCTATATACATCGACATTTGTTTTAGATCGTATTTCATAAAAGAAAATAATCTATAAATGAATGTAAATTACAAATGAAATTTGTTTGTATAAGTATTGGTCGCTAATGTTTCTTTTTACCATATATGTCCTATTCACATTTATTGTGTAGTTCATATATTATTATTTGTAAATTTTATCTAAATTTGGAATTACTTATAGGAACAGAAAAAAAAAGAGATGTTACATGATGATTGTGTATTTCAAAGATGATAACGATCTACAAGTGTATATTTATGATTAGCAAACTTGTTCTTATATTAATTTAAAAAAAAGATTATTATTTTATTTTCTATTGAACTAATCGTAAATTCTCGAACATTTTGTTCTTTACATGTAATAATTTATAACTTTCATCGGTTAGCAATTGTTTCGAATCATAAATTTCTGATCATTATACAGAAAAAGTCTGTTTTTTCTCTTATTAAAAATTGCTACAAATTCCTTTTTCTTATTATCAAGCTACGAAGTTGGATATTAAGTTTAAGAAAAAAATCATTTTCTCATGAAGTGATAATCAAAGTTACACAATATATAATCCTAATCTTTAGAGAATATTCAGTTTACTCATTTCGTTTCCATAAAATATTAATGTCAAATAGATATCATACATATTCTACGTCTGAATATATGTAATTAAAGTATTCAGACCATTATTATTGAAACAAAATACAAAATATATTATTCCTAAGCTGATGTAAATCATATTACAACATTGATCATAATATCGAATATCACAATTTTTTAGAATTTTGTTTCGTATATGCCACCACAATATTTAATTCAAATAAAAAAAAAAAAGCAAAAACCAATAACGTATGGTATAAAATGAAAAGCTCATAATATAAATGATAGAGATGAATTATTTACATTAAAGAATAATCTATTTCATTTTATATGAATTTTTTTATTTGATGTAAAGATAATTTTATTCTCTTTAACAAATTTTTATTTTCAAATATTAATAAAACTTCTATTAAATATATATATGCTTATATACATATTTTTCTTTTCATCCAATAGAAAAAATAAACTCTTGAATAACATTACTTCACTGTAAAAACTACAAAACAACATATGATGAATGTAAATATGCATCTACATAAAATCTCTCAAATTTAGAATATGTTATTTCATATTTAATGAGCAAACATTTATATGATTCATAGATTCATTGTAGTAATTTTTGAAGAAATTCGGAAAATTAGAAAAATAAAATTCTTTTTCTTTTTTTAGTTATTACGTGAGAAACAAAAAAGACTTCTTTTATTAAAAATACAAGCATATACTCGATCGAAAAAGAAGCCATTCAATTACCTAAGGGGATATTTAACTAATGCTCTTTCAAGGTCAATTACATTCATTATTGTTTTCTTTTCTCGTGTTTGAAGAGCTCTTCGCGTTTATTTAATGCGTGAGAAAGAATAATTTAATAAAGAATTTTCTCGCCAGTTTTGGTTCAGATGGTGTAATTTTTTCTTTTGTTTACATTCCTTTCTCTTCAAAAAAGAAAAAAGAAAAAAAAAAACCAGTAAACTTTCTTTTATGATGGCTTATAGATATTTATACGTTTCACCAATATCACATTGACTTAAGTCATTACCAATCAATATATAAAATTAAATTAAATAAAAAAAAAAAGAAAACGATTGTACAAGCCACAAATAAAGATTGAAATCATTGTCTTTTTTTTTCTCTAGTTTAGGCAGAAAATATGAAAGTACAATGATAGACGAGATAGCATTATCGATGAATTTAGTCTTTCACGTCAACAATAAGTGGTGCTTCATACATTGAGTGTCGAATACCAAATGAATAGCCAGGTGCTTGTTGTTTGTGAAGCCAAACTTTTTCTGGTGAATATTTACCAGGTCCTGGTTTTTGAGTTGAATCACCTGGCATTTCATTTCGTGCTGTCATGCTATAATGTGGTGGTTCTTGTTTGTACACGCCTGATTTTGTTACACTATAAGCACCTAAAAAAAAAATATATATAAACACTTAATATTGAGAAAAACAAAAGTATTTAAAAATAAATGATCCATTACCAGGTCCTGGTGTTCGCTGTAAATCTTCGTCAAAGCCACCTCGTCTGCTTCTTCCAGTCATTGTAAACATTGGTGCTTGTTTCTTCACACTTTGTACTGTTTTACCAAGCATTCCAGGTAAAGCATAAGCATTTGGTGCTAGAAGAAAAATGTTAAATTGTATCTAAAAACAATAAAATTTTACAATCATACCAGGTGTATTATCAAGTCCAAAATATTTATGACGAGAACCAAATGTATAAGCAGGCGGTGATTGAAATACAGTTTTCATTGGTCCTCTATCTTCAGGTTTATAAGCACCAGGTCCTAATTGAGATCGTATGAAACTTGGATCATTTTAATATTCTTCTTTTTTGTCTGATTTTTTTCTCTTACCAGGGTGTAAATCGCCTTTAAGATCAGCACGTCGAGCATAGAGTGAATAATGTGGTGTACCATCTTTACCAGTTCGAAAAACTTTTGGATTTGGAAAATAGCATGGACCAGGTGATGCTTCATCTTTATATTTACCATGTCTAAGACCGAATGAATATGCCGGTTGCTTTGTATGCACCGAACGTGGATCATGAAAATTACTTCCAACAAGACCCGGCAATAGATAAACCGGTCCAGGTGTCGAATGCATGGCCGAAATTGGGCCTCGTGGTTTTGTTAGCGTGAATACCATCTTGCTGACTTTGTCTAGAAGAAAATCTACGTAGAAAATATTAAAAGGGCCACAGTCTGTCAATAAAAATAATTTATAATTGATGATTAAAAATACATACAAATGAAGCTGTTTTTCAGACACTCTTTCTCTTTCTCTTTCTCTTTCTCTCTCTCTCTCTCTCTCTCTCTCACACACACACACACGCACACACACATAAGTTGTTCACGTAAATGCTTCTCATCTTTTACCTCACTTCTATTTCATTTGTTGCCACTAAGTAACAACAACAAACAGTGGGCGTCTTGGCGCCCGAAACAACAATCGGGTAATAGAAAAACGCTCTTCTTTCTTTTTTCACATCTGAAGTCGACAGAAATGAAAAGAAAGGAGAAAGAAGTAAACTTTTGAAACAATCAATAGGGCATACGCATACATCGATACAATTCAAATACTTCTCGTTGTTTTCGTTGCTTTTCTATTGATGCTTTGACGAAAATTTTTTGTATAAAAGCTTACTCGATCGATTGTGATCTGCTGCAAACTTCACTTTTATTCGACGATGAAAAAAAGAAAGAAGAGAAATTCTTCAGGTGTTGTTGTTATGGTTGTTGCTTCTCTAACGCTATTTTTCTTCCTTTTTCTTCCTTGTGTATACGTGTAAAATGCAGTATTTCTGTAGTACTCAACGTCACTAAAATTGACTGAAGGGGAGTATGAAAATGTTTTATTCGATTCATCTGAGATCATCAACAATGCTGAATATGTTATCAACACGCTTGTGTGAAATTTCTATTCAGTTTTACAGTTGAAAGATCTATACAATAAATTCAAATAAATGAGATTTATATAAAATATTTGTACATATATATATATATATATGCATATGTTCTTATAATCTATAATAATATATGGAAATAAAACGACTTGGCAACAATATATATATATATATCATTATTAAAAATTCAAGTGATTAGAAAAAAAAAATATTCAATTTGTTCTTACAAGGTTGAAAGTCATAACCTTGTTCAGAAGATTGTTATATTATTTATTTTAATATGACCTTCATTATGAAAAGCTTTCTGATATATTCAAATACTTTTTATTTCTGCAAGGAATGATTTATTGCTCGTATTATGAGAATCTGGATCAGATATTCAAACAATTGATATCAAAATTAAATATATACATATATGATCACCCTGGAGTATAAAACTCGTTAATACGGTATACTTAAGATAGAGTTATGTCAACAATATATTCAGACGATAACAACTTACATTTTTTCTTCAATTTTCGATGCAATATTTATAAACACAAAGATACAATGTCATTTCATAAGTTAATGACTGTGAGTCATTTCAAACAAAAAAAAAATTATCTTTTATTTTAAGTCAATTAAAGCATTATAAAAATTTATTAAATTGAATCGATCTTAGTACAAGTTTGTATCAATGTTTCTTCCATAAATAAATGAAAAGCATAATGTCAACCATTTCTTGATTTTTCATTAGCTAATGCTAATCGTCGAATATATGATATACATATAGCAGCATTCTCTTGAAGTACATCATCTTTTGAACCAACCATTTCCATTAATAACTAAATATAAAAAGCAAAAAAAAAATTTTTTTATTTTTTTTTGGAAATAATATATTTTTATTTTTTGAAAAAAAATGGATATACTCGAACAACACCAGCTTCATGCATTGTAACACAATTCATGGGATTTTTTGATAATTGATGTAATGCTTTAGCTGTTGATCGATGTACATTGGGATCAGATGATTTAAGATGTTTAACAAGTGGTGCTACAGCTTGATTTTCACCAAATGCTTGTCGATTATTTCCCCATTTACAACATTCAGCTATAGCTTCAGCTAGATAACGACGAAGTATATCTTCATTCTGTTAAAATAACAACAAATAAATAAATTTTAAATTAGAAAAAATTTTTTTTTACTCTTGTAGCTAAATTTGAAAGAAGTTTAACAACGCCATGATCTGTTATAACAGCTAAATTTTCTTCATCTTTTGCTATTTCAGCTATAGCAGCACAAACACTTGCTAATACTTCAACATCATTTGATTTTAATAATGATACAATCAATTCAAGACCACCAACAAAACTTCGTACCATTTCACCTGAATCCTATAATATTTAAATAGACATAAGAAAACTCGGGTTAATATTTTTTTTTTCTAACAAACTTTTAGATTTTTCACACATGGTGATATAGCCCAAGCAGCTGCAGCTTGTACTTGTGGATTTTGATTTTTTAAAAGTGACCATAATAATCGAACACCATCCAAACGATCAATCATTCTAAACATATATTATGGAAATAACATAAAGCCATTGACACATTAGAAGACCCAGGGTCTTCTAATCTGTCCTGTCGCTTGCAAGTCGTAAGGAGGGTCTTCTAATATGTCCCTTAGAAAAGTGATTTTTTTGCTATTCTGAAGGATAGTTTTCATAAACGTCTTTTTTTATGAACACTAGTTGTTCCTAAATATTTCTTTAGCTTCTTCAGGACTAGTACAATAAAAAAGTCTTTATTCTAGCTACAAAGAACATTTTACGACAAAAGTATCTTTTTTATAAAATACACTATATACATAGCAGAACATATTTGACAGTTCATTATAGCAAATGTGTTTTTCACATGATAAAAGGAATACATCAAAAAATATTTTTATTTGACATAATCAAATAGAAGAAGAAATTCAAAGTTTTTGAATTTTCCACGTATCTATCAAAGTCACTTATAACAATGATTGCTGTTTGCAACATGTTACAGAGTGTCCCGAAAATAACCTACCAAAAATTTTTTCGTATATATAGGCTCTTTTATTTAACTTTATCAACAAAATTTTTTTAAATTATAGGTGAATATATCGAGTTTTTATTTATCCGAACGAACTTCCATATTATTGTGTAAAGCTATCATCTTAGATAAAAATATAAAAATTTTGTTTTCTTTATATTTTCAGAAAAACATTATGTAGCGTTTTGTTCTGTAACTAGTTCAATTTACTGTGGGAATTTCTCGCAGATTTTGTCTCAAAAAAAAGGTTTAAAAATCTTTCAATCTACGTATTCTTGTAGAACTCGACGAACTCTATCTAACCATATGAAAATATCAAAGAAAACACCTTAGTCAACTTTTGAATTACTCGAATATTAGAACGAAAGCAAAACTATTGTATCTTCACTTAAGATGATAGTTTTACACAGTAATGTGGAAGTTCGTTTGGATAAATAAAAATTCGATATATTCATCTATAATTTTTTAAAAAATTGTTGATAAAGTTAAATAAAATAGCAAATATATACGAAAAAACTTTTGGTAGGTTATTTTTGGGACACCCTGTATATCTATACGGTACTCATAATTTGTCTTCTATTAACTTTCAATTCATGTGCCTTCAAAGAAACGTCATAGAGAAGACAAGTGAGATTCAGAGTTAAAAGAGGATAAATTGGAGATAACATGCATATATATCTGAGTTAATTACGTATGATATTGTTTGAACATAGGCCGCTTGGTACCCCAGAAAAGATAGAAAAATATTTTCAAGAGACGCTCAAAAGATATAAAGATGCAAAAATTATGAATAAATAGATGTTGGAAGAACTAAGAAATCAACTATTATTGAGGGGGGTCTTCTAATCTGTCTTTTGCGTCGTTCTTCTGAAGGGGGTCTTCTATTATGGGGGGAGGGGTCTTCTAATATGGGGAGGGGGGGGGTGTCTTCTAATATGGGGAGGTCTTCTAATTTGCCCATGGCTTTAATAAAAAAGATTGAGATGTAAGTAATTACGTGACGCTTTCAGGTTCTTCAGCACATTGACGTAATGCATGACAAGTATTCACTAATAAAGCTTGATTTGTTCCTGTTAGTAAATTAACTAATGGTGATATTCCACCAGCTTTACGAATTGTTGTTCGATTCTCTGCTTCTTTTGCACATTCAGCTAATGCACCAACAACATTAACTAAGACTTCTTCTGGTTGATTATTAAGTAATTGTACAAGTGCATCGATTGTTCGAAATTCTTGAAATTGTGCAATATTCTAATATCGAGAAAAGAAAAACCTTTTATATAAGAATAATAGAACAAGAAAAAAAAGCATTACTTCACGAGAAATTGCACATTTCCAAATAGCACCTGTCGCTGCAGCCAATAATGCTTTATTTTCAGTTTGTTGTAAAAGATCATGTAAAGGACGAAGACCCGAATGTTTTCTCACAAGGTCACGTATTTCTTTATCGACTGCACACTAAAATAAAACAAACAATACTGGTTTTTTTCTATTGTCAAATGAATCAAAATTTTCTATTTTAATTTTACCTTAAAAATAGCACTAGCACAATGTTTTTGTAATTCAGCATTGGTACCCGATAGACTTTTGACAAGATCAGGAATCATACCTCGAATTGCTGTTCGATAAACAGGCTATTAAGACAAAACAAAAATTAAACAACTATTTTTCTAATAATAGAAAGTATTAATTCAAACTATACATCAGTAGCGCACTCTTCTATAATGCCACCCACAGGAATCAACATATTGTCATTAGAACTTTTTAGTAATTTAGCCAAAAGTGGAATAACACCAGCACGTTGCATAGCATGTTTATTAAGATTCGATCGACTTAAACTCCAAAGAGCTAAGGCACCTGCACGAGCAACTTCAATATTTTTTGCATGATCATTAGGTGAAGCATGAGTATTGGATCCATGACCACTAACAGAAGCATTTTCCAAAAGAGAGACCTACATGTTGTTGTTTATTCTATTTTTAGTAATATTTATCTACTAAACTAAATACTTACTAATCGTTTAATACCTCCATTTTGTCGAACAACTCGACGCGCTCGTTTAAATTTAGCAACATGAGCTTAAAAAAAAATATTAAAAAATTAATTTAATCTTTTTCTTTTGTTTTTATTTTTTTGATATAAATCTAACCAATAGTTTCAGCAGCAAGACATTTTAAATCTTTTTCTGGTTCATCAAGTAATTTAACCATTGTTTGTAATCCACCAAGATCAGCTATATTTCGACGTATAGATGGATTATTTGACACTTCTTTAAGAATATATAATGAACCAATCTAAAGAAAATTTTTCATTATATTAAAATTTTATATTAATCATTGGAAAATTTAATAATGATATATACTTTACAATCAATATCATCTGTTTCAAGTAAATTAACTAGAACTTCTAAACCTCCAACATCACGAATAGCTAATTGACATATTTCTATTGATAAATTAAAATCACGAATGGATGATAATGCAATGACAGTTGCAGTTGGATTTCCACCTTTAAGATATTTAACTAATCGTTGTATTTGCCAATATTCTGATGGTAAATCAGTTTGATCTTGACGTGTTCGTTCAATTAATTGATCTTCTTCTTCATCATCATCATCTCCTTCACTCGATTCTTCTGAATCAGGATTTCCTTGACCTCCACGTCGACTACGATCTGTAAGACCACCTAGACGTGTATTAATTCCTCGTTCTAAACTGCCAGTCTTCGTTAAATTTGTATTATTTCTACGTAGATTATTACGACTATATTTTAAAAAAAAACCAAACTAAATGCAATCAACAAAAAAAAGAAGATGCTAATTATCATACTCAGTAGCTAATGTATCCCAAGCACGTGAAGATAATAATAATTTTTGACGATTTGCGTCAGCTAATGTATTATCTGATAATACAATATATTGAACAGAAAAACCTCATGAAAGGATTAATGGTTTACCTGTCGTTGTTGTTGATGGCATTATTTCTTTTCTTTTTTGTTTGCTATGGAATTTGTATGCCACTTGTTGCTTATCAAAGACAAACCGAAACCATTAATCCATTTTTATCTTTAGATATCACTAAGCAACCTGATTTATTCAACCTAAAACAAATGAAAATTATTTATTACAATAGCTTTAGAAAAAGTAAAATCGATTTAACAATTACTTTTATTTCTATAGACATTGAAATTATATTGTCTCTAGTGACTCTTAGCAGTAATGCACTTTGTTTAATTCTTGTTGTTGCCAAGCAATATGAAGTAAAAAAATGGCTGACGAGAAAGAAAAGTTAATCAATCAGTTAAACATATTAATTAGAATCAATAATCAAATTTTTAGATAGTTTCATTTAATAAAAGAAAAAATGAATGATTAAGAGAATTACAATAATAAAATTGTTATTTATCCTTAAAAAAAAATGGACATAAAAAAAGTCTTTTTCACGATTTCTCGTATGAAACAAGAACAGTCTGACATTACTGAACTGAAATAACAGCTGAAAGAAAACATAGAAATCATTATTTTTAATTAAAATGAATCTTTATTTATCAATATTCTAATTATTCTAGTAAATTTGAACAAAATTACATTAGATGATTGCACAATCGTTCGTCAATTCTAATGAGTAAGAAGTTCTTATTGAGAGGAACCTTCCCCTTTCCAGAAATGTTAAGATCAAAATTTTTTCGATTTTTAGTTTTTCATCGCTAATATCGCTTCATAATGTCGTCTATCAAATACCATATAAATGCGAACTTTTCGTTGTTCGTTAGTACTTTTATTAAACCCAACTTTCGAAATCCGTAGCAGAAAACTTCGTGCTGCAATGATTGTTTATATTCAAAATTCTTCTGATGATAATGATTATTTTTCATTCTAAAGGTGCTGGGAGAATGGAACATGGATCTTTAACGTCGATGAACATAGCCAGTTGTCGATCACTTTAGTAGGAGAAAAAAAGTCATGATACATACAGGATAATTTGTTTTACGTTAAAAAATGAAGTATAGAGCTTTGCGCGGGAAGGAAACTTTTACCATACTGATTGAGATCTATCTGCCTTGAAAACTTCATCATTTTTTGTCGAGTCATTCCTGAGAATCTCCTCAAAAGAGGGACATCCCCTTAAACAAATTCTAAATGAAAGATGGTAGCAGTATTTTATATATACTTTTACAATTTGAAATAAAAGGTTAAAACAACGAATAAATGAAACATAATCTTAATCAAAAATTCTCAAGACAAATAAATAGAAATGTCAATAGACAATTTTGTAATGATGTTTTTATTTTTTCTTTCTCTTTTTTAATCAAAATTCAAACCGAACAGATTCGTTAACGATGATAAAACAATCTAAAATCATTGACAAACTATTGACACAAAAATGATTTTTCTAAATATTTCAATTCAATAAATAGAATTTTCTCAAATTTGAAATAAACTACAAAGATTTAACTGATTTCTATATGTCTTTACAAAAATAGTAAATTTGTCTGCTTTTGTTCAATTGAATATAAAATAATCAAGCGAATTATAATTTTGCTCTTTGATAGTTAGAAAATTGACGCGGACAGCATCAACTACTTGATGAATTTCATAACCAAAAACAACAACAGCAAAGATCGATGAGTGCTTCAGTAAATAAAACGAAAATACATTAATAAAAATATTTTTTCTTGTAAATACACAATATGTCTAAACGGATTTACGTTCATTAATAAACTGTACTATGAAAAGTTCTTATTAATATACATAATGAAAAACAATCATTCATCTGTAAAATAATACTATTTGTTTATTTTATTGATTTTATAAAATCATTAGAGATCCTGTATATAAACAATAAATAAAAAGAGTCTATCATTAATAACAGTTTTTGAAAAAAAACTGTGTTCTTTAAAAGAATTCTAGTTGAAAATTTCATGATGATTAAATTATGTTTTCCTGAAAGCATAGTTTCAATATATTATTAAATTACAAATATAACTTTTGTCGGACATTGTCGGTCCTTTTTCATACATAAGAATCCTATTGTTTGATCTGCTATGAAAGGAAGACAAAGAAAATTATTAATTTTATTAAGTTCTTTTCTTTATCGCAACAAGGTAGCTGCACGACGATGCAATCAGTTGCTTTTTTTATCCTGTTACGTACGACGACGTGCATAGTCTGAGTTTTTTTTCACATACATTCCTTTTTAACATGTATCATTAAGTATTGAAACATTTTTATAAGTATTGCTTTCTCTTCTTTTTTTATTCTATTGTTCTAAGGTTGTTTCTTTTTACTATAAGTTTGATAATCTCGGATTCTATACACAATGAATAATGTTTAACATGATAAACGAAAGAATAATCGGTTTGTTTTCTTGAACATTCTTGAGAAAATTTGAAAAAATAATAAAAAATATACAATACATTATTTGTTGGTCGTTATAACTTTTATTCGAATTTTATGTTCATTGATTTTTGTAGATTCGATTGATGTCTAACACAAAATTGCTTTCAACGGATACTAGTGTTTTAACTCAACGATTGCAAAATGCTGAAAAGTCCATAATATTTCTTCAACGCGAACATGCATCAACATTAGCTAGTCTTCATGAAGAAATCACCAAATTGCAACAGGAATATAGTGGTTAGTATATAATGTTCGATTATTTGTTTTTTGTTTCATACGTCTATCGTAACATTTAAGATTTGACATTTCAATTAACGATTGGTGGTACTGTAATTAATTCTGTAGATGATAGTAAGTAATAACTACAAATAAAAAGTTTATGAATCTTCCATTATTCAAAATAATTGAAGGTAAAATTCGAAAAACGGTTGAACAACTTGAAAATGAATTATATCAATATAAAGATAAAATAAAAGATTTAAATGAAAATTTAGAAGAAAAAGAAAAACTTTTAAAAGATTATGAAAATCGTCTTATTGTAAATGATCGTAAGCATGCATTAGAATTACATAAACAATATGATAAACAACGAGAACTTAAAATTGAACTTGAACATCGTTCAATATTAATTGCAGAACTTACAAATCAATTACATCGGGAAAAACAACATCAACAAAATGTACGAAATCGTATTCAACTTGGACAAATTCTTTTACCTAATAAACCAACTAAATTAAAATATAACGATGAACAACAACAACGACAACTTTTGCCATCCAACCGTCATATATCGAAACGTTCATCATCCCCAAGTAATCAAAGTAGTACTGATCAAGAATTAACAAAAGTTTTGTTTATTGGACGACGTCCAACTCCTCCACAACAATTGCAACTAATTTCATCTAAAAATATAGAGTCACACAATGAACAATTATATACCAAACGTCAACGTCAGTTACTAAACAGTCATACAGAAAATATGGATTTAAATAAAATCACATCATCACGACCAACAAATAAATTATCAACTGTTCTACCGCCTATTGTCAGTAAAAAAATGCCACTTAAGGCATTTGCTACAATAACACTTCAACGCGAAGGCGATGCTTGAAAAAATATTATCATTTAATGTCTGTTTGGTTGTATGTATAGAAGATAGAATTAAGCGAGCAGTTTTTCTTTATTCTTGTTTCTTTTTTTCTTTATGAAATTATTTTTCTGCTTGATTTTTTTTTTCGAGTTACAATAATAATGTTTCTTTTTTGACAAAAAAAAGTGAATATCACATATAAAAGATCTACATTGCAGAATACTTAGAAAGTTTAGAAGCACAATTGACTTCTCGGAACACCAAGTTTTTCATTTTTTTTTTCGCGCTATATTTCGAGGTCAACTATAAACTTAACAGAAAATTGTACATATCTATCAGAGAACAAGGTTTCTTAGGCTTTTACATATATGTTCATTTATCAGATCAAGTAGATTAATAGCTAGGTAGAGATAAGATCATATCCTATACATGTTTAAGACATATTGAATTAGTGATTAGTTTATTATAAGAAAATATTTCCACATTTTAAGAATTGTTACTAAATGTCTAACGGATTTTATATACGAAAAATATGTCTGTTGATTAAGAATACTTGGTTTTCGTGACATATCTTCACTTATGCATAGTACTTCATTTACATTGATGAAATCAAAAGAAAATAGATGCATATATTCACGTATAATAAATCATTGAAAACAATACCTTTTTTTAATTTTCTACAAATGAAAATGTATTGATTTAAATGTTGAAAAATTATTGAAATTCAACAAGAAATAGGAATAGAGCGTAGAGAATATAAATTTCAATTCTTCAAATTCAATATCATGTTCTTCTTTAACATTCAGCATTCATAAGTTGCCTAATTGTAGCTCGGATACAAATCTAGACTTAAGAGCCTAGTGTTCTATAATAAAATTTAAGTAAAATCATTGTTAAATGAAAAAGAAAATAATGTTTTGTTACTAATTTAAATTTGTTTCGCTGTCACTATTAGACTATTTAATAATAGTAAAGACCATAGAAGTAATGATAAAGATCATCTATCGCCTGTAGCTTCATAATTATCATGGTTTGATTAAATAAATATAGTAGCAACAATTGTTCAGTGTTTTTCTTCTTAGCCATTGATTCATTATGAATCTGAGTTATATGAAGAAAATAAGTAAATTAATCAAATCGACTAATTTACAATCTCTTACTATTTCCAGTTCAAAAGATAGTTAGATTGTAGAAATTGTCTTAGACAATATTTTTCATATGTCTATGTGGTTGAACTTTTCGTGCTTGTATGTTTTTCCATCCACCTCTCTTCATACGAAAGAAATACAGAGCCACAATTATAAGACTACAAAGTAGACAGATTGAAATTGTACTTGTTAGTGTTGCGTGACCTAATATTAATACGTCGACCATAGTTATAATCGTGCCAGTCAATATACCGATTGCTTATTTGAAAAAATTGGCTATTACTGCAGAATAAACTAAAGAAAATGAGGTAAGTTCGTTAGTGAAATCGTCTCTACTTGTAAATCATAAGAAACTACACAGTTACTAGATCGTCTTGCTCATTGCTGTTCGTCAATGATGATACGATGATTGTTGTTGCTTTGTTTTGTTTCGCATCATATATCGATAAACAAAAGTCATTGCAGATAACGAGATGAGCCTTATATGTAATACAATTGCAACGCCGCTGTGGAAGATTTAACAAATTTTTTCAATATTGGAATCACTATCATAAGTGATAGCGGTGCATTTTTCCAAGATACCGTAATGTTCAAGTTCATTCCTAATGATTGCAGTAATGTTAACATTGTTGTGGTGGCCTTCAAAAACATAAAATGAATGACTTTCATAGACATAGTGCACAATTAGATATACATACGACCGTATTTTCTCATCGGACCATAAGTCACATGTTGCGGCAAGATTAGATATGTTACTTAAGCGGTGATAAAGATTTTCGGAATGAACGATCACAAGTGTCCCCATTTGTCGTTAAATAGTATTTGACGTGTTGGTAGAATATAGGCCTAAATGTAAAGAAAACTATATCAGACAGATTATAGTTCTTCTTTATAAAGCTTCCATTTTTTTTGCCTGAATATTTTCAAATAATAAGATATTTTTGGATCAATCTAGAAAACTTATCATATGTATTATTTGTTAGATCCGACACATAATTTTAAGACATTTTTTATTCACTATTATACATTCAAGCAAATAATTGAATAAGTACATATATTTGACAATTGACAATAAACAAAACTGTCACATTTATCATTTCTTAATTTATTTTTCGTTTCTTAAAGCTTGATTGTTTCTCTAACAACGAATCGTAGCCTAAAAGTTCTAATTTACACCAAATAACTGTCGAATGCTCTTAGCTATGATCATCTTATCTTATGCGAAAACATTTATCTAATTATGATCAGATAATTACTAATCGATGTTTGACAAGATTAACAACTAACTCATCTTACATGTGATAGTATTGCAAAATGATTTGAAGTAAAATCGAGCTTCACATATATATATAAGACAACTGTTTCGATAAATAATATAGTCTTAAATATATCTTTACTTATCGAAATCGTATTTTGTATCCATTTGTCTTCTCGAATACATTTTAAAAATCTATTCTTTGTTCAACATAAAATTTCTTTACATGTTACGATTCAGAAATAAAGCTTTCTCAAATGAAGTAGGATTTTTCAAGCAGTATTTTCAAGGAGTAATATGCTAAAAAGCTTATAAAACGATATTTCATTTAGTTAACTTACCAGATAACAATTGTTTTATTAGCTTTTTGACGACAGATTGCAGTAGTTCATCATAGTATCGACTATCTTTGATACGACTTTCATCAACGTAATCATTCAATTTACGATTTTTGTTGGGATGAGTTAATGAACACTGTTTGATTTATTGGTTTCTGACACTAAGAATTCTTTTTTACATATGAATTAATTTCCATAATCCTGGATGCAACTTGTTGAAAACTTTTTTCGTGAAAAAATCTTCCGACACTTATCATGTTGACAAACGTTTCTTAATCAATTTGGTGGCAAATGATCAAACACTTGAAGTTCTTCTTGAATCAACATCTGTTGATTAACAATCTCCTTAATCGAGTGATTTAATTTAAATATTGTTTTCTGCAATTCAATAAATAGATTATGCATTAGTTGAGTCCATTGTCACTATTGACATTCCACTTTTATCGCCATTATCATCTGATATTGTATAGACAAATGATGAAATGCATGATTATGGACTTCCATTTATATTAGTATAAAGCAAGTACATGATATCAAATAGTCTTGTTGTTAGTGGAAGTGGTACTTTTAATATAAACGAAAGAGATACAGGATAGGCGTCGACTAAGAATGACAAAAGGTATCTAAGTGAAGTGAATGAATAACGAAGACAGATAATAGAGAAAAATGGTCGAGACACATGAGAGAGAATAAAAAAGAAAAGTAACGTAGAAAGAAAAGGCTAGTTGACCGTGCAAGAAAAGTATAGAAAGAATTAGTCTAGAAGACCCACGATAGCGAGCGTGTACAAGTGAAATAATACATAAACAGAGTAGTTAATACTGTAGATATACAAATGATGGATATAGTGTGAAGAAAACTTCAAGCTTAACATGTTGCTTCACATGAAGAGTAGATATACTGCTGATTCTTTCTTTTTTTACAATTGTTCGTAGCAACTGATCGAAAAGAATCGACTATTTGGTGTAACAGTAAAACCCGCATACCATTAGGTGAGGGAATTATAGAAGAATTTAGTACTACATCAAAATATTAGTTGGACATATTGTATAATGTCTAGGAAACATGTTCTAATTTTATTTCGGGAAAAAATATATATGTATAATTTTTCCATTCTGTTCATAGTACTTTTTTCTCTTACGTTTGATCATGTGTTCATACAGAGAAAAAAGAAAAAACAAGCTCAGTTCTAATTGGAGGCTGTCAATACAAGCTGTTCGTATAATCTAGAGAACAATGAAATATTTATATCGTTATTTGTCTTGTAATTATTAACCTTATTTTTTGTATTGATATGAAAACAATATAAAATAATGTTAAAAAACAAAAATATAGAGTCATTGATGTAACGCTACGAATCACAAAAAATGGTACATTGCTTTTAAAAGTTTTCTGTTCAAAGGAGAAAGACTACAGAAATAGAACCATGTGAAACAAATTTTTATTTTTTATTCGAGGGAGACAATGTAAGTGTAGAAGTAATGGCGAGCAATAATACTCCTTGCGATAGTTCTCCCATAAGGCATACATCATCTATTCAGATGGAATGATCTATTTCTAGACATGTAGTGACTCCTTTTTGATTGTTATGCTATCCGTTATGTACAACCAAGAAAATTTCTTTCTATATTAGCCTTATTTTTCGAGATATGTAAGTGTAAGGAGAGTTGCGATCTTATCTCATAGGCTATGAGATTACTTTTAGCATGACAAAAGAAATTCAATTTCGTATTATGGAGAAAATCGTATAGTAAATGGGAAGGTCTACAACGTTTGTATGGTCTCTTTCGTCTGTACGGATGTCATATCTATGCTTATTGTCATACAAGCTCCGCATGATTCGCTCTGCGTTTACTCTTCATACAAATATTGGGACTTCCTGGTCACACGCGCGCACGATAGAAATGAGAGAGAGTCAGAAGAGTGAATTTTAAGGTAACACGAATGCTGCTCTCCTGATAGATATTTTCGTGACAGTTACTCCACAACAACAGTTACTTCCCAGAGACATTTGCTCACCAACGGTACTTAACAGAATTCCTATTGATTAGGATGGGTATGGGTGTGATCTATAGAAGACTCACACTCACACCCTTTTTATACTTCTATCTGTTTATACTATGATGAACATTCAATGAGGTTGATAACAAGCTTCAAATCAATTCGTGAATTTTTCATCGTTTTGTGAATCCTACACTAACTTATAACTGCTTTAGATGCTTCTTAGCTTGTAATAAACTGTAACTCTTGAAAAATTATTTTGAACTTTTCAATAGAGCACACATCGTTAAAATCCAACTGTCTGAAGAGTAGGTGTCGCTGAAGTATCTGTCAGGAGGGTCATGGAACCATGTCCAAGAGTTTTTTCTAGAAAGACAAACATATCAATCGATGAAATTCATCCGATCATTCCACTCTTTGATCGATGCTGATATAGAAGAACTAATAGGCTGTCCATTATAGAAAAGCTCTGTTATGTGTTGTATTTGAAAAATCTTGAAGCTTCTTCAATTCTGTAAATAAAAACTTTTTCCTATTACAACTCCTTGAACGCACTGCTATATTAGTTTTCTAAGAGTGAACTTCGTGTCTTCTCCTTCCATTGTTCTCGATGAAATATAGGCATTGTAAAGGTCCTTCTGTTTGACTTAGTTTTATGCGTAAGAGCTACTTCAAACAAAACTATCATTTCTATATGCTGAGCATCCTTAACTGGACCTTTCTTAAAATTACTCTTTGGTGATTAAAATGCCTCATTTCCAGATGTCATTGTTTTTTTGTTGCTTATGGCTACTTTTGACTTTCAATTTTAATTTTATTGTTAGTCTAATAATATTGAAAATCAAATATACTAGATTTCACACTATAGTTCATTCAAATGGCAACGCAAGTAACACTAACAAACATTACAAACCGATTAAAAGCCATAAAATTGCCAACTAAAATTCATCGAGCGTAATCAAACTTCTTGATAACTACCTAGACACAGGATGTCTCAAAAATTTTATAGTTGAGCATCAAAGTCTTTTGACACATTTTTGCTTAAACTTTTGAGTACGTAGTATGATAAAGCCACAAAAGCTCTATCATTTCACATATTCAATAGTTCAAATGAAAATCTATTGATGTATTCTGGGACTCGATCGCACGATTTTTGATTTTTCAAAATGTTTACATCTTTTTGAGATACTCTGCAGTTACATTCACACAAAAGACCTTTCAGCAATTTCTTAAACTGTTTCAAAACAGACAACCAGACTACCTAGACTTGTGAATAACAGCAGAAAGAAGAGAGTCATGCTTTTAGCACACACTCCATAATCCACAAAGAGTGAGTAATACAATACTTTTCATAAAAAATCGATGCACATATCGATTTCTTTGGCTGCCATTACGAAAGATGACTTCCCATATCAGAAGTAATCACAAATATCTACGGACTTGAAAAACTTCTATATCTATCAGCCATATTCTATATCATTCTATCATCTCTAATCATTCGCCTATAAGGAAAAAAACTTCTGATACGTTTTCCTCTCTACCAGTAAAGACAAGTTGTCCTTTCCATCACAGTCATGCATCACTTTGAAAAAACATTCATGCCACTTTTTTATCATGTATATTGACCAATTGTAATTAATCAGAAACAACACAAAGCTTTTACAAAATCAAATCTTTTAACGTCTTTTCTCAAGCTACAACTTTAGATTAAGCATGTTCCATCACAGAAGACCTATTTCAATCTGACGAAAGACGATATCCAAGTGCCGGAGCGCTTTTCAGCTGGGACTTAATGTATCTTGTAGAGTTTAGTGACTTATATCCACCCTAAAAACAGTTCATGTCCCTGGCTTGTTTCTGATGAGAACGAACGTTTTTAGTATTATAGCTGGTTATTTCTACAGCATTTGAACCACATTATACAAAAAATGATTTCCAATTTTGATAAAATTTTCAGCATTTGTAGAGTTTTTAATTCTGAGCATTTTGACAAAAAACATTTTTTTCAAAACTCTTTTCTTTTGATGGAGATAAACTCGAAGTACTTTAAGCAGTAAAGATGCAGAAATTCTCAAGAGAATTTTTTTGTGAATTCTTAGGTTTTTACTGGTTAAAGTATTTCGAGTTTATCTCCATCAAAAGAAAAGCGTTTTGAAAAATCTTTTTTTATCAAAATGCTCAGAATTAAAAACTCTACAAATGCTGAAAATTTTATCAAAATTGGAAATCATTTTTTGTATAATGTGGTTCAAATGTTGTAGAAATAACCAGCTATAATACTAAAACGTTCCTGTTCATCAAAAACAAGCCATGAGCCGGAATTGGTTTTATGGTAGACATAGGTCACTAAGCTCTACAAGATACACTAAGTCCCAGCTGAAAAGTGCTCTGGCACTTCGATATGCTACCTCGTGAGAAGAGCTTTAAAGATCTTTTTTTTTGACACATGCCTTACTTACAGATTATTTTTGAAACTTTGAGAGCTAATTTGATTGATAAGACTTTTTAAGTCTCTTCCAAGTACGATTCATTTCTGGTATGTTTTCGAAAGAATACGATCCGATTCCAGTGAGGTTCCGCATGGATACGACTAATTTCTGGACTAGTTTCGGTGATCTCGTTTTGTTTTCGGCCGCATACAATATACTTTCCTTTTATTCCAGTGACGGAAAATATTTGGAAGAGGTTGTTTTTTCTGTACGGTGATTTTCTAGTCAAATTAATGCCTTTACCTTTCATGTATTTTTTCGATTGTTTCCGGCAGGAATAAAGCAGAAACAGACCGTTTCCTTCGAGTCCTTGTGGTATTCAGGAATCGGGATCATCGACCTGGTGTTGGCTAACATAATTTTTTAGAGAACGTTAGTTGTTGTTTTTTTATCAAGTCAACTAAAAGTGTTAAAATTCTGAATATGTAGATGGCTCGAAGTAGTCGATTGAAAAATTAAGATTATGACTTACATGCGATGGCTTTGGCCTAGTCATGAAACTATTGTCTTATTAGTAGAGATTTGGCGAATGCTTTGATCAATTCTTATTTTAGATTGAACCAATAAACTCATTAGAAGAATCTCTTCTCGCTATCTGACATACTACTAATCTCACCGATTCTTAGTATGGAGATTTAACGATGATCTAACTCAAAGAGCTCGATTTTCTACTGGTTTTTATTCTATTGAAAAGCAACACAGCTTTGTGTTCTATTTTGTTTATATATTTAGTTATTAAGGTTCTTAAAACAACAAATAAGGTGACAGACGATAGCTAGTCAATGAAGACTAAGTAATATTAACAAATCATATTGAAAACACAAATAGTTGAATCAGTTTTTTTGTCCCAACAGCCGATAATATATACATCGCCTCGAACTCGTATTTTCTTCTTAACTACTTCTTTTTTATACTCATTTACATCGAGTTCAATATTGTCTTCACCGTTTCGAATTTTCACTGTATGAGCACCGGGTACGATCATATGTATTAGCACTAGCTCATTTTGTCGCAACAGACGCTGAAGTGGTTCAATCAAAATACATTGATGTTCTTCAAATGATTGATGCACTAGTGGAAAAGTGATTGATTGAGAAATATTTGATCCAGGTAATCGTATACAGATGGCTGCTCGATATGTTGTTTCCTTATTTGTTTTGGCATACAAAGTGATCTCATACGGACCATTTTTAGCGGGAGGAGCAATATAACAATTGAATACATCGTTTTGAATTACATCCCGTTGACATAATGTATATAATCGTCTTGAATATTCTATGCCACCAATAATTAACGTGGCAAATACATGAGCAGGCTCCGGTGATCTGATAGAGACTTTGAACAAATGTTGATCTGGTAATTTTTTTGAAACTACTTTTGATAAAGATTGATTATGCGTACGTAAATATTGACTCGATTTCTTTCTAGACAAACTATGGATATTATTGTTATCGATAGTATGACTGTCTATCGATGTGTGTTGAGTTAATATATTAGGGATGGTGTCATCGATTGATTGCTGAGAATTTTTCATATTATCGGTAATATTGACAGACAATAATTGTTGCTCCTTAATTGTATCAACCATTGTTTGTTTGATGAGATCTAGTGAAAGTACCTGTTGTTGTTGTGCCACTGCATCAGTTAATGCTTGTTTCTGTTCAGCAAATAAGCGATTCAATTCCGCATCATCATGATGCTGCTTTGTAATAGCGAAATTCTCTATCTTTTGAACAAGAGTATTTTGTAACTGGTTAATAGCATTAGTTTCGGTAGATATTGATTGAAGAATTTCTTCATTTTTTAATATAATTTTTTGTACTTCTTGCTCTATTGTCTGGATTAAAGTAAGTTGAAGTTGTTCCATTGATTGTGATGTATTATGATGTGTATCTAGAGTTTCTATTAATATCTGTTTCAAAGTATCAATTGAAGCAGTAGTAGTGCTAACAGATTTTTCAAATGCTATTGCCCACGAATTATTTTGTTCTTCTAATAGACGAATTATTTCTTCCTTATTGTTAGCTTCTGCTGTTGCTTGTAAAATAACCTCTTTTCCTTTTTTCATTGTTCGAAGTAATGTTCTCTTCTTTATATTCATTTCTTTTCGCAGTGAAGCAAAAAGTAGTTGTCGTTCAGTTCTCATTGCTTTAGTAAATGTCTCTTTAAAAGTTGTTGCATCAATCTCCACTATTTTAGGTGATTCAGTACGTGCACGAAGATGAGAACCTGTAGACTTTCTCGTTTGTGTTGGACTAGTAGTAAACTCATTAGTTGGAGTCGTTGTTGCACGATGAGCTGTGAGTGGACGATGTTTGGGCCGTCGTGCTTGCTCAGATACTGTTGTTGGACGTTTGAACAACGAAGATTTTGACATCGATTGAGTTGTTGACTCACGTTGGTCATCCGCATAATTAAAAATATAATAAGTATTTCTATATGTTGGACGGTCTTTACGAAGACCAAGAACATGATATGTCGACGAACCGACTTTGAACGTGTGAGTAATATCGAAAAATTGACCATCTTGTGTCGTGAGGTTACGGTTTTCTGCATACATTTCTTATTTTGATAAATTATATACAAGCAATGTTTTTGTTATACTAAAAGTTTATCGAAAGCAAAATGATGAGAATTTTTACAGTAATATCAACGGACTAAATGATAGAATTTCTAATGTTTTTCCACTGTTAACACTGACAAGAGAACATACTCAAGTGTCCGTTCACTTTTTCAGTCAGAACTTAGTAGATGTTGTAGACCATAGTGAACTATGTCTACCATAACAAGAGTTCGTGTTGATAGCTGGGTTTTGAAGAAATTGAATATTTTTAGTGAATTTTATCTGTAGGACTCACATTTGTAGCAAGATCATATTTTCGAAAGTCGATCTAAAACTTTGCTCACATAAAGTCGTTAATTAGATTAACTTGTACAAAAAACATTCAAAATTCTCGAACTAAATGTCTCTGCGACACGGAACTTTTCTGATATAGACTATTTTTCAACAGTAATATATGCAGCATGTATTTTTTGAAATCATTATATCTTGGAGATATAGTTTAAGAATTCTGAAATTTTTTATGCAAACTAGTCTAATTAATGGCTTTGTGTGGACGAAGTTTTAGATTGAGATTCTACAATATGGTCTTGCTACAAATGTGGAATTCTACAATTGAAATTCACTAAAAACGTTCGATCTCTTCGGAAACAACTCATGAGCACGAACTCTTTTTATTGTAGACATAAAGTAATTAAGGTCTATAACATACACTAAGTCCCGACGAAAGAGTGAAAGGATACCTGGAAATATTCTCTTGTACCTTATTTCCATATTAAGAAAAATTAAGTTCCAAAGAATGAGAATAATATTTCCTTTTTCTTTTTAGATAAACAAGTTACAAACTTGTATAAAAGTTAACTGCTAAAATAAATAATATCACAGTTCCTTGCAACGGAAGAAGATTCAAAAGATGAAGAACGGAAAATATTAAAAAAGAGACTGAAGAAGAAAAATGACGACACCATCAAACAAAAAACAACTTTTCTTTCTATCCACTGAGTAACAAATAAAAAGAAAAATTTTTTTCACTATGTCAACTCGTCTGAAAACAATATAAAAAGAAAACAATTTTTTCATGCATGCATTAAAAGTGACAATTGTTGACGACCATCGAAAGAATTCAAAGAAAGTGAAGCGTTAGAGATACACATTTTTCCAGATAGCCACTAAATAATACCTAAATAATTTATTTCTGAAATTTTTTATGCAGTAAATAGCAAGATGAGTTGATGATTGGAATCTAAGAAAAGATTTTATTCTAAATTTTATGTTAAAGACTGAAAAGTAAAAATTTCAATTAACAAGGTTTCATAGTTAGTAACGTTTATAATTATATCCGATCATGTAATCAATACCAGAGTGGTTCAATTTAAGAATTCATTCTTACCAGCATTCCATTGTATAAAATACATGTAAGATGCGTGATAGTTTATAATATTTATTGACATTTGTATACGCGTTAATTAATGCATGTACTTCTATATACGCTAAGCAACATTTCTTATGTGCTTCACTGGTTGCATCTAATTATGTAACATGAATTAGAATACAACGGATTAATGTCGTGTTTGAAAGATTTAACTATAATGATGAAATCTGATCAATTCACACAAGGAATTATTGTTAAGATAACGATTTCTACAAGGTTTTCAGAAAAATAGATTTCTAAGTTTACCTTACAAATCAACTAGTTCGCTGTCACCTTATTTTTCAGGTACAACTCATAGTCTTTGCTTATCATAAAATTTTTCGAGATATAAATTTATATTTTCTATATTTTATCTTTAAATATTACAAATGTTTTTAAGTTATTTATAAAATAATGGAAATAGAACTTACATTAGAATAGATAGGATTAAATGAAGTTAATAACTAGAAAATTCTATTCATTAGTCGTAAAATCTCTTACGATTTCTTTTGATACTTCTCAAAGCAGGTAATATATCGATTTTTCTCTAAATTAAACTAAACTAATGAATTAAAAAATACCTTGAGTAGATGTGAATAAACTTAAAAATGAAAATAATTAAAATACACAGAAATAAAAACGATTGTATATCCACATTATCAAAAATCAGAGAAGAAAAGCGTTAGAATGCGAAGACAAAGTGAAAAAGAAAAAAGAAAAAAAGCAAAAGGAAAAAAATGAGAAACATAGTTACTGTAAAAAGGAAAACCTAACAAGTAACCAGGAAACATGCAAATTTATGGTAATATATATTTCTCTTATTTGTTTAAAAATGGCTACTTCTTGGAAACTTTCAAAAGTGTTGAAATGTGGAGGAAGTATAGTGTTGAGCAACAAAGAATGGCTTTTTTCAGTGACTGATATAATCATCATTAGGCATAAAATAATGGTAGTTACAAAGAAAAATGTTGACGACGATCTATTCGTGAATTTTCATTGAAAAGAAAAGAAGGAAAAGAAAAATAATGACGATAAAAATCTTATATTAGTAAAGAAGCAAAGTAAAAGAAATAAATGCACTGAAAACTGTCGAATAATTTGATGAAAAAAGAAGATTGCTGTAATAAGATTAAAAATAAAAATAAATTACATAATATGATTAATTCATGAGCTAAAATTTATTTAATAAATTTTTTAAGATGTATTATATATTGATACAATATTTGAAGTGTTTTATTATTCAGTATCAATTATAGATGATTTACGATTCATCATTATCAATTCTTTTATTTTTATTTTTGTTAAATATTGATTGAATAATGATATTTATGCTTACACAAACATTATTATTTCTGTATTATACAAATTATAAACATCTTGTTCAGATTTTAAAAAAAATCAGATTCTTTGATGATTTCTATCTCAAGATGCATTAAAGATTACATTTTAAATAGACTGTATTGTGATGTAAGAGTATGATTTTATTCAAATCAAATATTAGTCTTAATGTCGTATTATTCGTAACTAGTGAAAATACAACTATTAGAAATAAATATTTGATCAAGGCAATAGCAACCATAAAAGTATTTACCAGGATGAATTTATAATAATTTCTCTTATATTTGCATTTGATATCGGTTCGGTGAATATCGTTATGTTATTATAGTCTAATGAAAAATTTATTTTGCGAGTCATAGTCTTAATATAGCTGTTCACACTTCCTTCAAAATTTTAAAAAATATTTCATACATACGTATACATTTGATGAATAATTATTCTTTTAAAAATATCATGAAAATCATCTATTTAATCGAGCACCTTTTTATTTTTTTGTGAATTGAACATGTTCATACTATGCATTTGATGTTAGTATCATTGTACTAAAATTCTCAATTATTGATTTGTATACAATGAATTCGAATAATGATTTACTCCATAAGCATTCGAAAAGACATATCAATATTGATGATTTCTGACATTATTTGTCGATTGATCAGAGTATAAATGAATTATATCAATTACTTATGGTTGCAAGAATATCTCACAAATAAAACTAATACAACATCATAGCCACATATCCGAGAAGCAAATCAAATCAATATAATTTGCTTTGATTCGAAGTTACATCAATGATCCATAAGAAATTAATCATCCAACATATGTAACATTTTATAACTGATCTAATCTTTTATCGATAAGATATATCTTTACAAAAAGAAATAGCTTCTCATTTATCTGAAACGACCCGTCACTATGTAGTATGATATCGATTTCATATGACATTTACCATTTCTAATAGTATTTGTTTGATTATCTCTAACACGATATGATAACTCATGTTTCATGTTTACAAAAATAATTATTGTTTGATAAACATAAAATTTATTACTTACAAGATTTATTATTTTGTAAAAAAAAAGAAAGGATTGTTTTTCAGTATAAAATAGAAGAAGAATATATGTTCTATTATTTCTTTTCTTTTTTTATATCAATCTCGTTTACATTCATGAAGATCAAGTAGAATAACAATAGAAAGATATCCAAGATGTTTTTCTTTATCATGTACAGTAACATGATATGTTTTATTTAATTTTGAAAATGAATCAATAACTTGAAATAATGTTTCTGGTGGTTGAAATGTTGGATATTGATCTGATTTTAAAGGATTATTTTGTTCCAGAGTATCGATTATAGCTAAACGCCGATCTTTTAAATCCGAACTTCGTACTTTATATAATTTTCTTCCAATAACAATTGTATAAAGACAATTATTATAACCACAAAAATCATATTGTAATTGACCAAAAAGAGTTTTTTCATTCAATTCATTATTTACTATATATATTAAATATTTTCGAGGTGTATTTGGATCTGGCTCTATAATACAAAATTCATCATCAATATATTTTGATGTTGGATTTGATAATTTAACACTAGAAGAAAAAAAAAGAATATCGTATGTAGAAAAAAAGAAAGAAAGAAAATAAAAATAAAGTTAATTATTACTTGAATTGACCAATACATTCTTTAGAAGGTGTAACTTTTACTGTGTATACTATTTTTGAACCACTAACAATTTCAAATTTTTCTTTACCGAATGAAAATTGTCGTGAAATTGTGTATTTCATTTGTTTCTAATCGTGTATATGTATATAATGAAGTAGAAGATGAAATATAAGAATTTAATGATGTTTGCGTTTGTTGATGGTTTATTTGTTGAATATATAATTATTTTTGTTTCGTTCTGTGTTTGACCTTCTATTTACAAGATATTTTCATTATTACACTGAATGATGAGGCCGAGAGTCTTATGTTGTTCTTCGTTGATGTTAAGAAACGACAAATATTACTGATGGAAGTAACGTTCTTTTTTTCTCTTTTTTTTTTTCATTCGTTATTATTACATTCCGTATTCCTCTCCGTTGTTTTCTCTTGCTTCTCTTTTTTTTGTCCTCGTCTATTGAGGAAAATAGTAGCACTTCTCTAGTGAATTGCAAAAAAATATAATAATAATGTCGCCTTCTTTATATATATATATATATATAGAGAGAGAGAGAAGGCGTGAAAACGATTGATTTTAGTGTAGATTATTGTTTACATTGTTCGAATAGTAGCAGAATAAATATTGACATTTTCATTAGAGCTTCTCATACTCATCACTATTAACAAGGTAAAATTAAAAAGACAAAGTTTCATTTTATATTAATTTTGATTATTATACAAAAAAGTAGAATGCCATTTTTGATATCAATAAAACATGCTTTTGAAATTGATAATTCTGCATATGTTCTCTTTTTATTATGTAAACATATATGTAAATGTATGTGTATATATTAATATATATATACATACATATGCATGTAGATAAAAAGGACTAATGTATTTTTAAAGGTAAATTCCAAAAGAAGAAAAAAAAAACAATTAAAAATGAGATTGAAATAACAAAAGCAGCCAGCGTAGAAAAATGAGAACTGTGATCAAGAAGTATTGTAGTAAGCGATATTAAATGTTCTTGCAGCACAGTAAATGAAAAATAGAACTATGATGTAAAGAATAAAAAACCAATTTTATATAAATGATGATGAAGAGAAAAATGATATGAATGCCAAATAATTCTTGTCAAGCAATCTTAATGTCGATCCTACAAAAAAGAAAAACAAAACAATTTGAAATCGTTTCTTCTAAATAATTCATTGATACACAGTCAAAATTCACAATTGATTAATAACCTCATACCATAAGCATTCACAAATAGTTTAGTGACTACTCTTACCGATTTCATTATTAGTAGAATTTTATTTTTTCTGTAAAAAAAATATTTGAATTTTTTATGATGAAATTTGAAGAGAGAAAAAAAAGGTGCGGTTTATTTATTTTTTTTGTTTATTATTCGTACCTGAATACTTGACATAACACTACTGGCTAATGATGATAATTTAGTAGCTGCTTTTGAGACACCGTCTTTAAAATCAGTTGTCATGCCTGATAAATCAGGACCGTGATAAGTTGAACGATCTTGTTTTCTTTTATTTGGATCATCAAAAAACTCTTCACTTGAAATACTTGTGTTTCCTTGAAAGCGTGATATTACATTGTTTTGATTCTACAAGAAACCAAATTAAAAAGAAAAAAAATAGTTTTTTTTTCAGCATCAAATTTTCATTTATAAAAAGGAGATTATTTTATTATTATTATTAATATATGATCAAATTCAAATTTGACAGTTACAGATACAAGCATTTGCAATAGAAGTTTGGTTTAGATTAGCAGGTGCACGCTACCAGAAAATGTCGGTTAGTAAGAAAAAGACCCAAAAACAAAACAAATGCTTGACTTTTTTTTTGTTGTTTATGTTGAAAAACATGCAGCGAAAAAATATAATGAAAATTGGTATGAATATTTCTTTTTTGATTTTATTAATACATGTACGACGATCACATACGTACATCGGAATCTTTATTAAAAAATTGATCACTTGATATAGCTTTAGCATTGGAAAAACGTTTTTGTGCATCACTATTATTTCCTTCGCCATAAGATGTAGATGATTGATTTTTTGATTTGGATGATGTACTAATTATGAAAAAAAAATAAACATAATATTTTATTTAAACTTTTTGTATACCTAGCAGTATCATTAATGGAATATGATGAACTATTCGTTCCACTAAATCCAAAATCTTTAGTTGGAGTGTTTCGATCAATAATTTCCCAATCAGTATTGAATGTATCCGTATTTTTTGATGATGATTTTGGTTTAAATAAATCATCATCTAGTCTATGTAAAACCAAGAAAAAAAACAAAATGAAAACTTGATAGATTAAAATAGTTATCGTGTTTTATTTTTTTGTTAAACAAATTTGCCTCTGTGATTATTTTTATGTTAATTAAAAATTAGTCAATTATCTAATAAAAGAATTAATCATTATTATCATCAGTAATTATTCTTATTTTATGAAATAATCTCGAATGATTCAAGTATCAACAATATGAGAAAAGATTTATGTAATATTTGAGTTTCTTTTGAAAATTATTGTTTTCATTTGTTTTTATTGTAACAATACATTAATAATCTTCATGTTTCATAATGGATGATATATTTCATCTCAACTAATAAAATATGAACTGAAATTTATCATAACTCGTTATGATTTACATATGAGGCAATTATTCAGGTAGAACTATCAATAGTTTTCCTAAAAATTTCACACACGAGGGACTACAGGGACTTATTTTTTTCTAGGGAACTTATTTCTTTATTGAGGATTTATTGTGATTTATTAATATTGATGCTATCCCAGTATACTCACATCAACACCCACACTCACATTCACACCCACACCCACACCCATACCTACACCCGCACCCACACCTTCACTCTCACCCACACCCTCATCCACATTCTGTATGTAGTGAGGAACTGTATGGGATTTATCTCAAAGTGCCTACGGACTTATTGAAAAATCCCAAAGAAATAAGTCCCGGTAGCTGCTGGACCTATGCACTCAAGTTTGAATAGACTGTGAATATTTGAAGATAAATGAATTTTCGTCATCTCGTTCTTAGTTAAATCTAGTTATAATTAAAGAGAAGAATAAGTTAAATAGCTAAGCATTATATTTAATAAGACAAATCTTTCTCTCGCTTCTTTTCAAAATTCAAATAATTAAAGTGTTAGAATAGTACGTGCATAACTATTATTAATTCTATGAGTACTTATTAGAACTCTCGTCATTTTGATCATCATCTTTCGATGATAACATATCATAACTAAATAATAAATTGAATTATAAATTGATTAATAACTTCAAATACATACTTTGATCGACTACTAAAACCAGATGGTTCAAAATCATCAAGAAAATCTCGATTTCGTGGTGCAAGAGAAACATTTCTTGTTGCTGTTACACCTTCTTGTTGAATTGTTTGCATATCAGTCATAGCACTATGACTTACACCACTAAATCAACAAAAATTCTGATGTAACCATTGTTTTTTTAATTAGAAATAACGGATGGTTCATAAATAATAGGACAATTTGAATTTCCGTTTTTGGAGAGCGGAAACATGGTTTAAAAGTATCATTTTAAGCTAAATCGATAGTTTTGTAGGACGAAAAATTCTCTATCGAATAAACCTTAAAATAGTGTCTTTAAACTGTGTTACTGTCTTCAAAAGAAGATCAAAGTGTTCCATTCTTTATGGGTCGCCCACTCGTAACATCTTACCTTCGACTACCAAAACCCATGCCAAGACGTTCCATTTGTTCAGCTTTCTTAGGATTTGATTGTTTTAATTTGGCTTCTTCTACTTCACGTTGTTTATTAATATCTTGATAAGCAAATTTAAGATTTGCCCTAAAATATAAAAATTATTAAACTATTTTTATCATAAATATTTTTCTTACATTTGTTTTTCAATTTGTTTTTCGGTTTCTTCACGATTTTTAAGTTCAAAATGAACTTGTTGTTCACGTAATTTTTCTTGTTCTTGAACATTACGTTCGATTTCTTTGAAATCAGTTGTTACTTTTTGTGCACCAAAACCTTTCTATAGAAACAAAACAAAAAAAATAAATTTTATGTTTGTCAACAAAAACAAAAAGAAGAAAAAACCAATCAAAATTGACAATATAGTTAAATTAACAAACCTTTTTCGCTGCTGGTGCTCGCCGTTGACCAATAGTTGTTTTTTTTGGATCGAGTGTTTTTACTGAACCATCATTATTCAAAATACTTGGATCAACAGATGGTCCTTCTGTTTGTTGTTCAGCTAAAAATAAAAATAAACCATAGAAATTGAAGAATAAGTAAATAGAAATAATTTACTCTTATCAAGACTTTGATTACTGGAATGTGAAGAAGCTGTTATACTATCATCCCAACCAGTTTTAGTTAATACTTGAGAATGTTCATGAAAGAAATCACCTTCTTTCTTTTCACCTGTCAATTGATTATGTTCATTCTTATGTCCATCATCAAGAAAAAGCTAAAGAAAATATTTTTAAAAAAATATGATTAAAATAATTTTTTTTTCTTCATTATTTGATTACTTTAGTTCCATATTGTTTCATTGCTTTAGTAGCAAGTTGATGAAGTTTTTCACGATAAAGTTGTGCCGCTCGACTATTATATTTTTGTTGAATATCTTTTGATTGACAGCCATGTTGTTGAAAAAATGCTTCCTAAAAAGCAAAAAAAAACATCAAATTTAGAAATTTCATTAATCATTAAAAGATAATCTACTAACAGCATTAGCATTTCCACCAACTTGCATAGCTCTTAATATAAAAGAAAATAACGATCAAAATTTCATACATAAATATAACATACCGAAGTTGAACCCATCCCCAATTAGTATCAAGATTAGTTGAACGAATAAATGATAAATGAACACCAAGACCACGATGTCTTGCCGAACAATCAATACATAAAAATACACCATATGTAATTGATGCCCAGGTGGGATTTTTTGAATCACAATCGAAACACATCTATCAATACATATATAAGTGACATAATTAAAAGATTATATTGACAAACCTTATTAGCAGGAATTGTTCTTAATCGTTTAAAAATTGCATCAATGTCTGATTTAGTAGGTTCTTCCATTATTCTAAGGAATTAA